GCCTTTGTTGAGCACTTCATAGGTTGGAGTTGATGACACGGGGCAGACTGGGAGCTCGTTTATTTCACGGATTACTGAAGGCACTGCTTTTAATCCAGACTAAATGTAAATGGTGCTCAGGATGCGCTTGTTTCTACATGGGCTTAAGGACATCCATTTGTAAGCTTGAAGGTAGCAGAAGATGTGTGTCATGGATCTTATCAATATGTTTATCAATAACCCATTTCCTATCGTGAAGAGAGGAGGAGACGATGAGCAGACAAGTCAAACAGTTATGATGAAGCTTTTCTTCTCCCGGCCCAAATGGGTGAAAACTGGAAAGAAAGAAAAAAAATATTTTATTTAAAAGAGATAAATAATTAATATTAATTAGAATTTATTAAAATATGTTTTAAATGACAGAAAATTAAAAATGTGATTAAGAAAATGTAAGAAAAGGGAGAGAGAAAATGAACAGGAAAGAGGGAAATCAGTGGATCCCGGGAAAGGAGGAATAGGAGCAGAATAAGGAGAGGAGATGAAGGAGCGCGAGAACAAAAGGTGGATTGGTGCTGCTTCTACAATAAAATGGTGTGTGTGTGTGTGTGTGTGTGTGTGTGTGTGTGTGTGTGTGTGTGTGTGTGTGTGTGTGTGTGTGTGTGTGTGTGTGTGTGTGTGTGTGTGTGTGCGTGCGTGTGCGTGTGCGAGCGCTGCTTATACTGAGCCAGGATCCTCTGGAGGTTTCTTCCTGTTAAAAGGGAGTTTTCCTCTCCACTGTCGCTGCATGCTTGCTTAGTATGAGGATTGCTGTAAAGACTCTGACACTAGTCAGTGACTCGATGCGACCTGCTGGGTTCCTTATATAGGAAACTTGTTCCTGATTGGCTTAATTGCCAATCTGTATTAATCTGTATTGTTTACTGTGTGAAGGTCCTTGACACAACTGGCCGTTATTTGGTGATTCATAAATAAACTTAATTAAATTAAATAAACTTAATTAAATTGAATTAAATGCCGGCTCTGACCAGACAATTCTGCTGTTGTGTCCTTGGGCAAGACACTTAAACCCTCTTGCCTGTTGGTGGTGGTTGGAGGGAGGGACCGGTGGCGCCTGTGCTTGGAAGCCTCATCTCTGTCGGTGCGCCCCAGGGCAGCTGTGGCTACATGGTAGCTCATCACCATTAAAGTGTGAATGGATGAATGATACACTGTAGTGTAAAGCACTTTGGAGTCCTCTGACTGGTAAAGGTTCCTACAAGTGCAGGTCATTTATCATTATCATTTACCATGCGGGGGTTGTACTGGTCTGTCGTGGTGAAGAGTGAGCTGAATGTTCCTACCCTCACCTATGGTCATGAGTTTTGGGTAGTGACCGAAAGAATGAGATCGAGGATACAAGCGGCCGAAATGAGTTTTCTCTACAGAGTCTCTGGGCTCTCCCTTAGAGATAGGATGAGAAGCTCGGTCATCCAGGAGGGGCTCAGAGTAGACCCGCTGCTCTTCCAAATCGAGAGGAGCCAGTTGAGGTGGCTCGGGCATCTGGTCAGGATGCCTCCTGGACGCCTCCCTGGTGAGGCTTTCCGGGCACGTCCAACCGGGAGGAGACCTAAAGGTAAACCGAGGACACGGTGGAGGGACGATGTCTCTCACCTGGCCAGGGAACACCTTGGGATTCCCCCGGAGGAGCTGGCCCAAGTGGCTGGGGAGAGAGAAGTCTGGGCGTCTCGACTTAGGCTGCAGCCCCCGCAACCCGACCCTGGATAAGTGGAAAAAAATGGATGGATGGAGTTCTGCAACCCTGAAATGAGTTTAAGATAAAACTGAGATGGCCCTTCACCTGCATAAGGTCCAACTACACGTTCACATTTGAAGAAACAAAATCCTTCTAATGATGTGGGTATTAGTGGCATTAAAATGCATCAGATTCACTCTGCATGGTGTGTCTTGGACACCATCTTCCCTCCCACAAATGTCTCTCCTTCTGCCCTTTTGTTCTGCTCTAGAATGGAGTTGAAATGTGTGAAATCCAACGTGATACCAGGGGCCTGAGAGTTCATTATCCGCTGGTGTTCTCACGGAGAGTGAAAAATCACTCTTTTGTGTCAAAGAAGAAAGCCTTCCTCTGACCTCATGGTTGCACAGTGTAATGTCAAAAGGACCAGAGGTTTGTGTGGTGTAGCCACGCCCACTCTGTAGAAGCGCCACCATGGAATCTGACCAAGGTCCCTCATTCCTCAAAGAGCTGCAGGAAAAAAAAACCTCCCCTTGTAAACAAATGTTTGGATCCCACATTGTACAGCACACTAATTGGACTTTGGCTGCTCGAATCACTCTTTCTGCAAAAAACACATTTCTGTGTTTTCTGTCCATTTTGGACCACACTCAGTCCCCAGTTGGGCTCTTTCATTTGGCATGTGGAGTTTGTCTCTGAAATCAGTGCAGCATCAGGCGACACCACGACAAGGGTTTGTTAGGATCACACACACACACACACACACACACACACACACACACACACACACACACACACACACACACACACACACACACACACACCTATAACATGTAAGTAACCTTCTAATTTATAAGAATGATGAATAAGATGTGATATTCCATATAAAGATGAATTATCAATATTATTGATTTTTTTATATGTGATTTAAGATGAAACAAGGTATTTTTGGTAGTTCGGGGAAATCACACCTTTGTAACAATTTAAGACGGTCAATAAAACCATCCCACACCAGTTGCGCTGAATCTACGAACCCTTGTGGTGAAGGCTCGCGGTGATCCAGGTGCTGGAGATCTCGGTACGTAAAGGCTGCTGATGGAGTTGACTTCTGTGGTATTCGAAGCACGTGGGTCCACCTCGAATACAGAACCACTGGTCTGGGATGAAGGGTTGACCTTGAAGGGTGGTTCAACCCTTATTTACTCAGCTTGGCCGGGCTGAGCAGATGTCAGAACTGACTTTAGAGGAAGTGTCAACTCTTTTAATAACTATTGTTTACCAATTTGGACAAATCAAAAGCTTACAAGTTTGATGTGGGCATTTACCAAAGTCCCTGAGACACCACCTCATTCCTCAAACAGAGAGCTTTTCTACCTTAATGTGAAATAATGTCAAAAATTCATAATATCCATCCATCCATTTTCATCTGCTTATCCAGAGTCGGGTCGCGGAGGCAGTAGCCTAAAGCGAGAGTTCCAGACTTCCCTCTCCCCAGCCACTTGGGCCAGCTCCTCTGGAGGAATCCCAAGGCGTTCCCTGGCCAGGTGAGAGACATAGTCCCTCCACCGTGTCCTGGGTCTACCTTTAGGTCTCCTCCCGGTTGGACGTGCCCGGAAAACCTCACCAGGGAGGTGTCTAGGTCCTGACCAGATGCCAGAGCCACCTCAACTGGCTCATCTCAATGTGGAGAAGCAGCGGGTCTACTCTGAACCCCTCCCAGATGACTGAGCTTCTCACCCTATCTCTAAGGGAGAGCCCAGCCACTCTTCGGAGAAAACTCATTTCGGCCGCTTGTATCCGCGATCTCGTTCTTTCGGTCACTACCCAAAGCTCATGACCATAGGTGAGGGTAGGAACATAGATCAACCGGTAAATCGAGAGCTTCGCCTTCTGACTCAGCTCTCTCTACACCACGACAGACCGGTACAACGCCCGCATCACTGCAGATGCAGCACCAATCTGCCTATTGATCTCTCGCTCCAGCTTTCCCTCACTCGTGAACAAAACCCCGAGATACTTAAACTCCTCCACTTGGGGCAGGACCTCATCCTTGACCCAGAGAAGGCATTCTACCCTTTTCCGAATCAAGACCATGGTCTCAGATTTAGAGGAGCTGATTCTCATCCCAGCTGCTTCACACTCGGCTGTGAACCGCTCCAGCGAAAGCTGAAGATCACGTTCTGATGAAGCCAACAGGACCACATCATCTGCAAAAAGCAGAGACCTGATCCTCAGGCCATCAAAACGGATGCCCTCCACACCTTGGCTGCGCCTAGAAATCCTGTCCATAAAGGTTATGAACAGAATCGGTGACAAAGGGCAGCCTTGGCGGAGTCCAGCTCTCACTGTGAACGAGCCAGACTTACTGCCGGCAATGCAGACCAAGCTCTGACACCAGTCATACAGGGACCTAACAGCCCATATCAGAGGGCCTGGTATCCTATACTCCCGGAATACCCCCCACAGGGCCCCCCAAGGGACGCGGTCAAACGCCTTCTCCAAATCCACAAAACACATGTAGACTGGTTGGGCAAATTCCCACGCACCCTCCAGGATCCCCCTAATGGTATAGAGCTGGTCCAGTGTTCCACGGCCAGGACAAAAACCACATTGCTCCTCCTGAATCTGAGGTTCAACAATCCGACGGACCCTCTTCAACCAGAACCCCTGATTAGACCTTACCAGGAAGGCTCAGGAGTGCGATCCCCCTGTAGTTGGAACAAACCCTGCAGTCCCCCTTTTTAAATAAGGGGACCACCACCCTGGTCTGCCAGTCCAGTGGGACTGCCCCTGATGTCCATGCGATATTGCAGAGCCGTGTCAGCCAACACAGCCCTACAACGGAACTCCGCGTGGATCTCATCCACCCTGGAGCCTTGCCACAGAGGAGCTTTTTAACCACCTCAGTGACCTCAGCACCAGAGATTTGAGAGGCCAACCCAAAGTCCCAAGACTCTGCTTCCTCACTGGAAGACGTGTCGATGGGATTGAGGAGGCCTTTGAAGTATTCTGCCCACCGATCCACAACATCCTGAGTAGAGGTCAGCAGCGCACCGTCCCCACTATAGATAGTGTTGGTAGCGCACTGCTTTTCCCCCCTGAGGTGCTGGATGGTGGACCAGAATCTTCTCGAAGCCGTACGGAAGTCTTGCTCCATGGTCTCACCGAACTCCTCCCATGCCCGGGTTTTTGCCTTGGCGACCACCCGAGCCGCATTCCACTTAAACTACCGGTACCCGTCAGCTGCCTCTGGAGTCCCACAGGACAACAAGACCTGATAGGACTCTTTCTTCAGCTTGACAGCATCTCTAACCGCCAGTGTCCACCAGCTGATTCTGGGGTTGCCACCACAACAGGCACCGACGTTCCTGCGACCACAGCTCTAGTTGGCCGCCTCAACAATGGAGGCACGGAACAGGGTCCATTCAGACTCAATGTCCCCCGCCTCCCCCGAACATTTTGGAAGTTCTGTCGGAGGTGGGAATTGAACCTCCTTCTGACAGGAGACTCTGCCAGACGTTCCCAGCAGACCCTTGCGATGCGTTTGGGCCTGCCTGGTCTGACCGGCATCCTCCCCCACCATCTGAGCCAACTCACCAGTTCAAATTCAAAATTCTAATTCAAAGATACTTTATTAATCCCTGAGGGAAATTAGAGTTTCAATACACACAATTCTTGGATCAGACATACATACATAGACAAAGACACATGACAAGAATTGGTGACTGTGGTCATTCGCAACCCGAGTCGCGCCACCTTAATAGAGACCAGAGGGGTTTATATGAGGATTGAGTCAGGTGGAGGAAAAAACGGCACTTCAGAGTTACCCTCCACAGGGAGGGCAGCTTTGCTATGCAAAAAACACCTCAGACAGAAATGCAACAGACTTCAGACATTACACAACATAAGTGTCCACTAGGTGGGGGGGTAAGGTAGAGGACTTTCCAAACGTCAATGCATGCAGCCACGATAAGCAACGCTCGTCACCTCCGTTTGGACAGGGGAGGGAGGTTGTTGGGTTTAGAGAGCACAGTGACTCCTGGAACGATTCAACGGCCTTCACCGGTCACAGTCCCGCCCAGGCTGGGACAGGAAGACAGAGTTGCCATGGCAACGGCAACATTCTACATTTCTTCTGAGGGGGAGTTATCGCTTCAGACAGTCTCAAGGGCACCAGATTCAGATAAGAACTTGTTTTGGGGCCAGACAGAGATAATTTCCTCTCTGTCTTAAAGTTCCATGTGTCCTCAACTCCTCTCAATCCAATAATGGCGTAGTTAATCAATCCCAATCCGTGCTGACCCGTCAACTCGCTCCATGATCGAATCCACCTTCTGTGCCAGAGTCTGAATCTCAGCCAAAGTTCCAAGCTTACAACTCATCTCAACAATTATATGAGTCTGTGCGTTCACAGCACTGTGTAATCCATCCCTGAGCTCCGGGATTGAGCCAATATTCCTTGACAGCTCATTAATTTTCCGGTACGCCAGATAACCACTCAGGCCAAAAAGCAGGAAACCTGACACCAACACAACGGATATCCATACGTCTTCAGAATCGTCTACGGACAGTTGGGAGAAACAGATCAGGTTCCACATTTTCCAGGAGTCCATGATATGCCCAACTGGCTCTGTCCCAGAGGGGCACCCGGGAGCCCCTTCTCCCGTTCTCATCGTTGAGAAAATCTTGTCAATTGCGTTGAGACCAACTGGCCAGGTCCATTTTTAATAATTTCCAGTTTATAGAAAAAATGCAGAAGCACCATACACCCAAAGACAGACAAAGAGCCTTGGGATAAGATAGGGAGGAGAGGAGGAAAAAAGCGTCTGTGCTCTCCAAGAGCCGAAAATAAATAAATAAATAAATAAATAAAAAGTTGACAGCTCCGCCCCTCTCTTCACCCGAGTGTCCAAGACATGCGGCCGCAGGTCAGATGAAACAACAACAAAGTCGATCATCGAGCTGCGGCCTAAGGTATCGTGGTGCCAAGAGCACATATGGACACCTTTATGTCTGAACATGATGATCATTATGGACAATCCATAAGTGGCACAGAAGTCCAATAACAAAACACCATTCGAATTGAGATCAGGGGGACCGTTCCTCCCAACCACACCTCTCCAGCTCTCACTGTCGTTGCCCACGTGAGCGTTAAAGTCCCCCAGCAGAACGAGGGAGTCACCGGAAGGAGCGCTTTCCAGCACCCCCTCCAAGGTCTCCAAAAAGGGTGGGTAGTCTGAACTGTAGTTTGGTGCATAAGCACAGACCACAGTCAGAGCCCGTCCCCCCACATGTAGGCGGAGGGAGGCTACCCTCTCATTCACTGGGGTAAACCCCAACGTACTGGCACCGAGATGGGAGACAACTAGTATGCCCATCCCTGCTCGGCGCCTCTCAGTGGGAGTAACTCCAGAGTGGTAGAAAGTCCAACCCCTCTTAAGGAAACTGGTTCCAGAGCCAGAGCCATGTGTTGAGGTGAGTCCGACTATATCTAGTCGGAACCTCTCAACCTCACACACCAACTCAGGCTCCTTCCCCTCCAGAGAGGTGACATTCCATGTGCCAAGAGCCAGCTTCTGTAGCCAAGGATCAGACCGCCAAGGTCCCCGCCCTCGACTACCACCCGTCACACACTGCACCCGACCCCTTTGGCCCCTCCCACGTGTGGTGAGCCCATGGGAAGGGGGACCCACGTTTCCTCTTCGGGCTGTGCCCAGCCGGGCTCCATGGGTGGAAGCCCAGCCAACAGGAGCTAGCCAACGTGCCCCCACTCCAGGCCTGGCTCCACAGGGGGGCCCCGGTGACCCACGTCCGGGTGAGGGATCATGGTTTCCATTTATATAATTCATCATAAGAGGTCTTCAGGCTGCTCTTTGTCTGATCCCTCACCTAGGACCTGTTTGCCATGAGTGACCCTACCAGAGGCAGAAAACCTCAGACAACTTAGCTCCTATGATCATTGAGACACTCGAACCCCTCCACCATGGTAAGGTGGCAGCCCAGGTAGAGGTGAATATCCTGATGAAATGTCACTGATAAATTCACCAGATGGACAATACCGTGTAAATAGATCATTGTAGGAATAAACACTTTTGTTAACTCATTATTCATTACTCTAGAGCTTTGAATTCATTGTTCAAACACTTTAGAGAAACAGAATGTGATTGTAAATAACGTGTGAAGTTAGAAAATAATTTTTTGAAACAAAATAAGAATCATTTTATTAAAAGAGTGGAAACCATGCAGGACCTTGATGGAAGCTGGATTATTATTCATTTGGATTGGAATGGGCAAATTTCCTAAAGTCTGTATCAATATATTCTTTTCATCTGTTTATTTATTTAAGTAAAAAAAAAATTCAAAACGTATTTAAAAATAAATCTTTCAAGTAGTTTTTACGTTGTTCTGATTATTCTCCAAACAGAGCAACACAAAAATCCTCATGAAACTTATAAAGATGAAGATATTTTAATAAAATTCAAGCTAAATGTGATGAAAACTAAATTATAGTTTAACATAAATAGAAAAATGTAAAACATAAGTAACATATCATCCTACTTTCCTGATTAATTTAATCACTTTCCATGTTTTTCTTTTTCTCTTAGAAGTTTAATGTTACTTCGGTCAGGATAACTGCAGGTAAAATGACGTGTTGCTGTGGTTTCTGTCCACATTAATAAAGATGTTGGAGGTTTGTTCTTTCTCTCTGCCTCTGGTTGATCAGCGGGTCGGGGTCGAGCGTTTTTAATGGGAGAAACGGCTGCAGATGGATATTTGTTCAAACTGAGTCACCAGAGATGTCCGAGTTTGTTAGTCGGTGTGTTTGTCGTGTTTAAAAGAGCGGCATTTAAGGGAATCAGTGTTAACAAACAATTAACGCAAATACGCCTTTACTGTCCTCAGAATTATTTACTGAGAAGGTTTTTCTGTTCAACATCAGCTCCTGAAACCCAAATTAGGTCCGTATCACCAACATTACTGGGTCGAGGGCATCTGAATCCACGCACTCCGCGCAGCAGCAGCCTCTGGTCCAAACCTGAAGGAGCTTGAAAAAATTCATGCGCAGTCGCAGTTGGCCTAAATAGATAACTGATAATATGATATCAACCGTGTATCACTGTGCATCACTTTATTTGTATATTCATCAGACATAACACATCCCAGCCCAATGTTTTTTTTTTTTTTACTTGGGCGAGTGCTGTCATCATCTGGGCAAGGACATCGTAATCTGAACTCAGTCCTGGCAGGTTTTCACAACTCCTCAGTGATGCATGATGGTCAGCTTCAATCACTTCTAATGATGACACGTCCCAGCCACGGGGGCGCTCTCATGAGGTTGATCTTTGACTCAACTGCTCCATTTTTCCGTGGTCTCCCGCCTCTCTTGGCTGCCTTGTTAGCCAGGAATGTGGAAACGGCACATTTCTGCTAAACTTCATGGGAAAATGCTGCTTCTTCTGTGGATGAAGAACATTTAATGGATTAGGCGTCTGCTGTTTCCCAACCGAGGATGGAACCTGGGTTTATTCAAGCTTGATGCCCCCCCTCCCTCTTCCCTAAGGCTAATAGGCATGGCTAACGTAGTTCAGCTTTAGACCCTGGTCCTCCGCCTTGAACTTGGCTTTCCCGCCCTTTTTTTTACCCCTTTATGTCAACGGGCCAGAGCATTCTTGTTGGGCTTTTTACGTGTGTTCACTTTGGACGGTGATGAAAGGACCCCGGAGAACATGGGACCCTAAATCACTTAATGAGGGGAGACAGGCAACGCTTTTGTCCAGCTTGTTCTGGGGCTGTGTCCAGTCGAAGACCTCTAACGGGCTCTGACACTTCGCTGTGCTGCAGACCTGTGTGTGTGCGTGCGTGTGTGTGTGTGTGTGTGTGTGTGTGTGTGTGTGTGTGTGTGTTAGGGTTTGTCCGTGAATATTCCCATCAGGGTTCCTGATTTTATTTTCCTTAGATTGATTGTAATTACTCTTTAGGGTCCTAAGTTATAACTAAGGAAGAAAATCCTCTTTAGGGTTCTATTCCACGTTATTTGCCAGCCTTCCTTGAATTCAGTCCTAAAAATGAACCTGATCAGGAATTTAGTATCATTTGGTTTGAATCCATGTCTCTGTTAGAAGCTCTTTGGTTAACATCCAGTGTTTGTCTTTTATATCATGTTTAGGGATTAATGGGGAATAGCTATTCATGACTTCATGACAGATATTTCTTTTGGACACAAAGAAGGTTTCTCTTCCTCTGTTAGCCCTTTGGTGCATAACCGTCACTACAGTGGACAGGTACTCAAAATTGTTATTTACTTGTTTTCGCTATTAAGCACAGCTGTTGAAGACTTTATTGCATTTGAGCCCCTCCATTTGGACTTCAGTAAGTCAAGCCAACATATTTCATGTTCAGAATGCACGCTGTCCACTGAGGTGGACACGTAATAAATTATTTGTAAATTATTAAATGTAACAAAAATATTTGTTGAAATTTGTTTCATTCACACCTGAAGATGAATGAAAAAAATTGTTTAAAAAAAATCAGGGTTTAAGATTTCATAATTCATGCATCAAAGGGTTAATCATATAGTTTGAACTCTGGCTGGTATAGAGAGAGTTCAGAGTCATTGAATAGGAAGAACTATCTATGTTTATCTATTTATCCTTTTAGGTTGAATGGCTTTCTCTGGTTTTGTTTCCATCTGTCAGACTTCAGCTACTATCTCCTCCTAGATATTCAGCGCATATTTTGGCACAATTATTGTTTTTGGTGCTAAAAACATTTTCGAAAGTGTTTTATTTTTAGGGAGGAGACATTATTTGGGGAATTCTTGGAAAGGTGGGGGAACAACTTAGGAAAACTTGAAGCGGCTCGCTTTTGAAATTAAAGAGGACATGTTTAACTTTTTTAACAAGTTGTAACAATTCTATGGTCGATACAAAACAAGTTTGTGAAGTTCTCTGCACAATATTGCTCTTACACAAAGCCATCTCAGCATTTTTGTTTTTGACATTTTCAGTGCTTTCCAGAATGTGTCATTTTAGTGCTCTGTCACTTTAAGAAAACAAGCTGTTGCTGGCCACATCCACCCACACCCTGATTTGCTGTGGTGAGGCCAAGAGCTCAGATATATGGGAGGGGCTCTCAATAGAGCTGATGCTCCTCCAGCACTGACGGGTGAGGAGATCCTCTTCAATGGACGAGTTTGTTACGTGCACACCTCAGCAAGCTGACGTCCTAACTGAGGGCTTTGTGAGCTTGTTGGTCATGAGAATCCTGTCCGTGGTCAGTATCAACGTTTCAGATGATCAAGCAGCTCAACCCAGGTTATCATGACTACTACCTACCTACTCAATTATATTCAATGCAATTTTATTTATATAGTGCCAAATTACGACAAGAGTCGTCTCAAGGCACTTCACATAATAAACATTCCAATTCAGGTCAGTTCATTAAGCCAATCAGAAACAATGTTTCCTATATAAGGAACCCAGCAAATTGCATCAAGTCACTGACTAGTGTCAGTGACTATACAGCAATCCTCATACTAAGCAAGCATAACACGACAGTGGAGAGGAAAACTCCCTTTTAACAGGAAGAAACCTCCAGAGAATCCTGGCTCAGTATAAGCAGCCATCCTCCACGACTCACTGGGGATCGAGAAGACAGAGCAGACACACACACACAAACACACACACACACACACACACACACACACACACACACACACACACACACACACACACACACACACACACACACACACACACACACACACACACAAAGCAATGTGTCTATAGTTCTATTGTGATTTCTTAGTAAATATTCTATTTGGTGAGAGATAAACTTTATTGTATTTATCCTAGTGGATCTATAATTAAACGGGTAAACTAGTAGTAGCACATTCAATGTCAAAGAAAGTAAAATGTTATTATCAGGAGAGGGAGAATTTTTAAGTGGTTAGCAGCAGTGTGTTAGCCGATGGCCCCCTCCATGAGGCCACCACAGCTCAGCAGAACATCATTGTAGCTTCTTCTGGGGAGAAAAACACTTAGAGAAAAAATAAAGTTAACAGCTGAAATAGCAGGAAATAATACAGGTAAAGAGCAGATTGTAGAAGAAAGTAGTCGAGTGTGAAAAGTGGTCAGTGTGTCCTCCAGCAGTCTAAGCCTATAGCAGCATAACTACAGAGATAACCCTGGATAACCTTGCCTTTTAGATGGAGGCATGTTGGAGGCAGGACAAGGGAGAGCCGTCTTTACCGACTGTTCACTCCACCTCCCTCTACTCCCCCACGTGTCCAAATCTGGGCTAACATCAGATTTTAACCATAAGCCCTATCAAATAAAAATATTTTAAGCCTGGTCTTAAAAGTAGACAAGGTGTCTGCCTCACGGACTAAAGCTGGGAGCTGGTTCCTCAGGAGAGGAGCCTGATAACTAAAAGATCTGCCTCCCATCCTTTTTTTAGATATTCTGGGAACCACCAGTAAACCTGCAGCCTGAGAGCGAAGTGCTCGGTTAGGAACATATGGAACAATCAGGTCACTGATGCATGATGGAGATTGATTATTATGAGCTTTATATGTGAGAAGGAGGATCTTAAGTTTTCCTCGACCGAAGCAGTCAGGTGTCAGCCTCCATCTTCTGATAGCACCCTCCAACAGCCTCCTTCAGCAACTTCCTTCATTCTGGGCGACACCTGAGGATCCAGTCCTGCAGCCGGGTGATGAGCTGCTCTCTGCTGTCAGAACCAGTGAAGTCTATCTACCTCACTCAGCCCATATGCACTGCTCCCTAACACTCACCCCATTTCTTCCTCCCCCTCCTAAGGTACATGTTAGCACCTCCCAGCTGTGTGGGTTTGTCACTTGCATTCTCTGAATGTCCCTCACTTTCCAACACCCTTCTTCGTCCTCCTTATGGGCTGATCTTGACCGGCTGACATGTAGGATACCCCTCTGTGTAGTTGGCACCAACCAGAACCTTTTCCATCACTGTAAGTGTCCTCTGCAGCACATGAGCCTATTCACTTGTGTGAGTGATTACATGTCAATAAGAAGACCTGATTTATAAGTTCTCCTCAGTTTAGATTCAGTGTGGCCAATTCTTGGCATTTAGGGCCTCTCTGTTCCCTTTAGCTGGCTCGGCTTCTGCTCTTTTCTCTACCATACAAAACAAGAGGAATGCAGGAGAGTTCCCATGGTAAATCACATTCACATTTACATCGCAGGGCCCAAACAGAATGCAGCAATTATGGGATAGGCAGAGTTCTGGCCAGCAACAGGACTACATTAAAAAGCGATAATGGTCTGCTCAGAAGTTGCCAACGATACCAGAAGACTTACAGGCTGTAGGAAAGTACATGTAAACACAGTTTACAGCTGTTAGTGATGCATCTGAAACAAGCAGAGGCGTCTTTTAACTTTTTCAGTTTTAACAAAGTCAGTAAACCTAAATGTAATCATTGAATCACAAATAATAACCAGAGTCCAGACAGCATAGTCTTTTTAAGTCATAAGATGGAGCAGACTGCAGCAAAGTGGATCGCCGTCACCCCTCTTGAAGAACTTCATTCATTAGTATTTTTCAACAGCAGACAGGGATGACACGCCCATATTGGTAACAGGTTCATTCAAGGCCAACTACCGATGGATGGCAGGAAGCTGCATCAAAGGTCACGATTCCTAAAATGTTGTCTTCTCCTGACAAACCTAAAAGTTTCCCTATTCCATTTCATTTATCAACCAGCAAAGACTTAGACTGTACAGGTGCTGGCCAGTAAATTAGAATATCATCAAAAGGTTGAAAATATTTCAGTAATTCCATTCAAAACGTGAAACTTGTACATTATATTCATGCAATGCACACAGACCATTGTATTTCCAATGTTCATTACATTTAAATTTGATATTCATAAGTGACAACTAATGAAAACTCCAAATTTGGTATCTCAAAAAATTAGAATATTCTGAAAAGGCTGAATATAGAAGACACCTGCTGCCACTCTAATCAGCTGATTTACTCAAAACACCTGCAAAGGCCTTTAAAAGGTCCCTCAGTCTTGTTTTGAAGGCACCACAATCATGGGGAAGACTTCTGACTTAACAGCTGTCCAAAAGACAATCATTGACACCTTGCACAAGGAGGGCAAGACACAAAAGGTGATTGCTAAAGAAGCTGGCTGTTCGCAGAGCTCTGTGTCCAAGCACATTAACAGACAGGCGAAGGGACGGAAAAAATGTGGTAGAAAAAAGTGTACAAGCTCTAGGGATAACCGCACCCTGCAGAGAATTGTGACGACAAACCATTCAAAAATGTGGGGGAGATCCACAAAGAGTGGACTGCAGCTGGAGTCAGCGCTTCAAGAACCACCACGAGGAGACTCATGAAAGACATGGGATTCAGGTGTCGCATTCCGTGTGTCAAGCCACTCTTGAACAAGAAACAGCGCAAGAAGCGTCTCGCCTGGGCCAAGGACAAAAAGGACTGGACTGATGCTGAGTGGTCCAAAGTTATGTTTTCTGATGAAAGCAAGTTCTGCATTTCCTTTGGAAATCAAGGACCCAGAGTCTGGAGGAAGAGCGGAGAAGCACAGAATCCACGTTGCATGAGGTCCAGTGTAAAGTTTCCACCGTCAGTGATGGTGTGGGGTGCCATGTCATCTGCCGGTGTTGGCCCACTCTGTTTCCTGAGGTCCAGGGTCAATGCAGCCGTCTACCAGGAAGTTTTAGAGCACTTCATGCTTCCTGCTGCTGACCAACTTTATGGGGATGCAGACTTCACCTTTCAACAGGACTTGGCACCTGCACACAGTGCCAAAACCACCAGCACCTGGTTCAAGGACCATGGTATCCCTGTCCTTGATTGGCCAGCAAACTCGCCTGACCTTAACCCCATAGAAAATCTATGGGGTATTGTGAAGCGGAGGATGCAATACGCTAGACCCAACAATGCAGAGGAGCTGAAGACGACTATCAGAGCAACCTGGGCTCTCATAACACCTGAGCAGTGCCACAGACTGATCGAGTCCATGCCACGCCGCATTACTGCAGTTATTGAGGCAAAAGGAGCCCCGACTAAGTATTGAGTGCTATACATGCACATTCTTTTCATGTTCATTCTTTTCAGTTGGCCAACATTAGAGAAACAAACATTTTTTCATTGGCCTTTAGAATATTCTAATTTTCTGAGATACCAGATTTGATGTTTTCATTGGTTGTCACCTATAAATATCAAAATTAAACGTAATAAACATCGGAAATACATTGGTCTGTGTGCATTGCATGAATATAATGTACAAGTTTCACGTTTTGAATGGAATTACTGAAATATTTTCAACCTTTTGATGATATTCTAATTTACTGGCCAGCACCTGTATTCATTAGATAGGATTTCTAGGTGCAGCCAAGGTGTGGAGGGCATCCGTTTTGGTGGCCTGAGGATCAGGTCTCTGCTTTTT